GTCTTTAGATTCTATGATAGCTATCTTAAGTTAAATAATTGTTGGCATTATAAAAAATATATTATAATTCAATAATTTGCCAACATTTTTATCTCTACCCACRTAGTAGTCTACAATTACAGTTGTACAACATATAAAAAAAATTATTTAAATTACTAATAAATGTTAAACACATATCTTGTTGGTGACAAAAAATAATTTATTATGTTGGCAAATACTGATCTCATCAAGTTTAATGTACACAAAGTTCAATGTAAACAGAACATATAATAAAAATATAATACATCCATTCACAACTGCAGTAATATAAATAATTGAAAATGTAAGATACCTTTTAATTATTTTTAAACTTTTTGAAAGTTTTAAAATACTTATTATCTTAAGTTCCAAATTAATACTACATGTTAAATTTAATATCTTTTATAATAATTTTATAATACTTTTTCAATAGTTTGTCAAAGTAAAAACTTTTTTCTCATTTTTATTAAAGGAATTCATGTCCTTCAAAATTAGCTATAATAAAAAAGTATTAAACATATCCTACTAATCAATAGTTTCAAAACAACTATGCATAAAAAAAAATCGAGTTTCTTATTTTTATATTTTGTATTAATTAAAATAATGTATTATTGTATTTATGAATATCTTATCAGAAATTACCCCTCATTTAAAGTTTATTCAATTTTCCCACTAAATATTTTAAAACAAAAATTAGGATTTTATGTGCAAGATGGTTTGAAAAGTCAGATCTATAAATACTAAATAGTAATCACTAATCATTAATTAGCATTAAAAGTTCCAATTGTGACATTAGAAAAAACCACAGATAACTTTTTTATAAACATATCTCTTGAATAGTTCTGAATTCTTTTGTAGAAAAAAGTTTCTTTTTTCAGTCTTATAACTTTTTTTTCAATTTATTATTTAGCTTTGACTTTTGTACAACTGATGAAAGTAAATCTCCRACTGAAAATCTTGGGCAAGTTTTATTTGGTGAAAGAATTAGACCTTCTGGATATAATGTAAGTGTATAAATAATTATTCTATTATATTAGTTTTTATTTAATAATTTAGTTTATATAATATATATATAATATTTTAATTGAATACAAGAAAATTTATTTAATGTATAAGATATATTATATGTGTTAAACTGATCCACATTGTTTCAAAATCTAATCAAAATGATTTTTGAGCTTATAAAAAACATAATAACATAAATGTGTTTCTATATGAATAAGATGAAATTGTTTTAGTTATTAATGTTTGAGTTACAAATAGTATATTTCATGSAGATTCATGACATAAAGGCATAAACAATGTTAACTATAGAATCATGGTTGACCACAGATTCATAAAACCATCCACAATATCTTTTTCTATACCAAATTTAACTATCTCTTAATTTGTAATCAATACAAGAACTTATTATACTGATGGCTTAGAATGCTTAAATTATATCAGAACTTAAAACTGTGTTTGTCGTACTATGGCTAAATTGATTTTGTTTTTAATTCAGTTGTACTTACCAAAGTACGATAGGACATACATTTTTAAAATTATTATGTACAGTACAGAATTAGATTATAATTAATCTCTTGTAATTTAATCTAATTGTTATTGTTTTAATTTTTCTTCATAAAATATGTGCAACAAGTAAAAAAAAATATATTGTTATTAACACGTTGGTTTTCACATGGCTGCCGGCGACCCAAATTGTTTAATTTATTTTGAAGCCAATTAGGTAGCCTGGCGACCCAAACCTAATTATTTTTCAGGGGCCGCTTGGATCACTGGCTACCAAATGYGACATTATCTTAAGTTAACTTTATTTTAATACGGCTTGGAGATAGAAAAATATAGATTTTACCGCGGCGTAAACAACAAAAAGTAGATAGTTTTGAAAAAAAAAATTAAAATATTCAAACTAATGAAAGATTTATTATTATTTAAAAATATGAGAAAAAAAGTTACTATTATATTAAAATTATACATTAAAAATTATTGTTACTGAGTATTGTATATGTAATTTATCTTTGTTGATGATGTTGGAAACATTGTAGACACACAAATTGTTTTGATTGGCAAATGCTACAAAATATTGTCACTTTTTTTACCTTATTTATCGCTTCTTTAAAAATAATAATTTATACAGTATATATTAAAACCATGTTAAATTCGAAATAATTTTAGCTTACTTATAGCCTAATTCAGCGGAATATTTCTTGTAGCATTTAGTGCACCTTCTTCTTATTTTTCTATTTCTCTGGAATTTGTCTTCAGTCTCTTCCAGTTGATGTTTTGTCTCTAGTYTTCTGTGGAATCTATTTTCAACTAATTTTGGTGTGGCAGATATATGTGAAACACTAGTTCTATATGAAAGTTCTAATGTAAGAAGTTTATCGACTATAACTTGAAATTGACAGATGCTGAGTTTTTTTTAAAAATTATGTTGATTATACATTATTTGTGTGTTTACAACAAATGTGTTCAAAATTATTTC